CCTCCTCTCCAAGCCTTCGCTCTGTTCCTCACATAGGTCCATTAACACCCTTCCCTCGGCACCCACAGGCTTCAACAGGGGGCAGACACAGGCGTTGTCTTAAAGACGTTTTGAGGACATGCCAAGAAACATTAACCTACTCTATACACCTCCCTCGGACTCTTTCGGTTTGGCTTCCTCTTCCCCTTAAGTCTTCTTCTACTCAGCACCATCATCTTCAGCTTCTGTTCTGCACTGTCTTTGCATCCCCTCCACTGGCTGGAGCCAAGTTTATGCGGGACAGGAGGTCAACGGACAACTCTAAATGTTTGTAGGCTTGAGGAGTCTGTGAGGTTTAAAATATAGTGGATGTAGTTTTTCATCTTGTTACCATGTCCATATGCAGTTTTTCCCCCTAACATTTAGAAGACATCATGAGTGAAATAAGCAGTCAATGCCATGGTTGTGTATTACTGACTAGTGTACTGGTAGTCTTGTGTAGTCAGACCTCTCCCCACAGCCCTGAGTCAGCGCTGGAGAATGGTCTGGTTGCATCTAATTAACATTATGCTATTGCGGGAACTAAGCTTTCTTTTTTAAATATTTCTGTTAACAAATCACAAGTCTTGGGCTTTGCTAAGTCCAGGATGAAGCAACAATGCCACTGCAAAACATCCATCCATCATCTATACACCGTTTAATCCCCACTAGGGTCACGGGGGGTTGGAGTCTATCCCAGCTGACTCAGGGTGAAGGTAGGGGACACCTGGACAGGTCACCAGTCTATCACAGGGCTACACTTAGAGACAGACAACCAAGCACACTCACATTCAGTGGACGGACAATTTAGCATCACCAATTAACCTCAACATGTTTTTGGGAGGAGAACCCAGAGAGAACCCACGCTGCACGAGGAGAACATGCAAACTTAACGCAGAAAGATCCTGGGCGTCCTAACCTGTAGCGATCTTCTAGCTGTGAGGCGACACATGCTAACTACTGAGCCACCTTGCGAAACAGTAATGGGATAATTGTTTTGGTGGAACATTTGTGTGAAGGGAAGTGAGCACTACACAAAATGGCTAATTCAACAAAAAAAGTCAAGCTATTGAATGTTCAAAAATGTCAGCAAAACTTGGCTTTGTTGGTGTGTGTGGCTACTCAGAGGTTGGTGTCGTTATTTGCCAAAGTGAAGGGGAGTTTGAAAACGGTAACATGCAGATAGTGGAAATGGAGAAAACAGACTTTTAGAATTTCATACAAACCTAAGGAGTCTTTCCTGTCAAATTGCAGGGTGGGCTTTCTGAATCATTATTTGCTTTCAGAATCATTTTTTGGTTGGAACATGTATAGCTGACGTAGTCTAACATTGCAAACAGCCATTGTGTAGTGCAGAGTAGCGTTATAGTGTCTGCAGTCGTAGGTGAGCTGGTCGGCTCAAGCTGCAACGAGCAGCAGAGGGTTGAGTAGAGAAAAATGAGGGGACTTCATAGATGGGCACATTCTAAAGCAGGTAATGGTGCAGAGTTACATCGAAGCCATTTTAAGACATGAATGGATTGAAAAACATAAAAAATCTAAATATGGAATTTTTGAGACACAAACAGTTTTGGGGATTTTAATCAATTAGTGGAGAGGGACTTGGTCCGTTATCTTCTTTGGCTGACATGGCAGAACTGTGTTTATTCTTTGTAGCACCTACATGTGAGCATTCAAACCAAAATCCCTGTTACAACAACCCAGGGGCAGCGTTAGTGGGAATGTGCTGTTTCAGTATATCGATATGATGATAAGATGTAATCCAGAAGGGTCAGCGTCAGTAACAGATCCATGTAAATGTGTTCTGTGTTGGGAACAAAAACTGAAATGTCTTTGCAAGTCAGAAACTCTGACGAAACACCAACAACTTTGGTGAATCTGTCTTGAACTTTACTAGGTGTCGTCTTCCAGTCTCCCGTCATTCTTTTACTGACTGTCTACTCTAAAGACTTTACAAATGCTCCACTATACTGCCAAACACAAAATCATTAACACGAAAGTCTTAAAACACAAGAAAGTTTTCCTGTGTACAGACCACACAGCCATAGTGACATTTCTTGTCAATAAAACAGACACCTCCAAACAGACTCTCTAAAGAAGACTAATTTGACACAAATCCTCGTCTTATACTGTATTTGACCCTGTGACCTGCCTCTGGCACCCCAGCACCCCACAGGCGCATTGCTTGTCAGTTTAAAAGGTCAAACAAAGGTAAAGAGAATGTAATTGCGTACCACCTGCATTCTTCAGAGCTTCATCCTCAAAGCATCTTGCATTGTGAAACCAGTGACAGAAGTCTGTGTCAGCTCAATATGAGTGACTGGGAAAAATTCTCACGCACATTGCGTGTTAAAGTTTCTATCACATATCGCACGCGTGCATTTCTCAATACGTATTGGCTTGTGCTGTTGCATAAACGTCAATATCTTTATGTGTGGGAGCAAGCAATGTTCGTATAAGTGTCTATGAGTATGTGTTAATCTTCTCTAAACACCTAACACTCCCCTACCTGCTCAGACAGGGCCATGGGTTAATTCTGGCTTCAGGCGTCATGGCTAATAACCGCTCATCAACCGCAGCTTGAACTCTTGGAAACGTCAAGTGTTACCGTGGTAACTTTAACACAAAACCAGCAGAACACTGATGGTGCTGAGTGTGGGATGAGAAAAAAATGTACCTTAATCTATCACATGAAGGACAACATAGTCACAACAATACACATAAATACAAGAGAATTTCTTCATGAACCTAACCTGCACTCTGTGGGCTGGCAAACAAATGCTTTCCGCGTTCCTGAAGTGCTAGGTGATGGAAGCATGAGTCAAACAGCAGTTAGGAAATTAGTTACCAGCACAGCTCTGTGTGTAGCTGTGCTGAGATGCAGCTGCCTGACCCAGCTGGTGAGGAGCTGGTGCTGTCAATCACCTGTCATTCAACACCATCGCATTACAAATTAATCCAGATAGATGATACACCAAAAAGCTGCTGCATTCACTGCTTTTCAAACGTGGACAACGACTCACAAGTTGAAAGAAGTGCATAACAGCGGGATGTGTGGAAGAATCCTGAGCAGGGGGAGAGAATTCTGCATTACGTGGCCTCAGGCAGAAGAGTCTTGTAGCTTGAGTAAATGAGGTGATTAGCAGGGATGGTGTGAGCTGTCACACGTCAGACACTGGGCTTAAAATCCAATCACCATCTCATGTGTCAATCACAGGCCCACCGAAGCAGTTGACCAACAGGTCAAACGCAGTGTACGACGAGCCACGTAGTCTGAGCACAACAGTAGTCCTGCATGTGATCTTATAGACCTGATATGCCAAAGCCTCTGCGATGAGGGACGCAGAGCTAACATGTACTCATACCTTTGTGACAGTTCCCTCTCAGGTGATATACAAATTAATGACAGCCAATCACAGCGCCAGAGGACACAACACAAGAACGTAATAGGGTATTACAATGACTAATCTGTGTTTTGGTTGATTTGATGCATGAGTGGTGATACGATACAATGTTCTCTGGGAAATTCCCTGACACACAACAATGTGTCATAGCCAAGGATTGTGACTGACATCTCATATTAAACACTGTCTTGTGTCAACAATCAAAGTCATGTTAGGATCCTAAAAAAAAAAAAAAAGAAGAAGTCCTATATGGATATCACTCATTTTCTTTTAAGCCTGTGTTCTTAGGGCAGTGCAACAGTATGATTTCCATTCAACCAAAAACTCCAATAAAGCTCCCTAAACAAGGAAGGCAGACAAAGCTTGGTCTTAACAATGTGCTGCTGGGATATATGACACGGTATCCAGGCCCCACAGAGCTACCGGGATGCTCTAGGCCTCGGCCCCCTGGCCTGCTCAATACAGAGGCCTAATTAAAAGCCCATTGAGGATAACCACCTTGACTTTTACAGACCTTATAAATCTATACTAGAGTGGCCTATACGGGGGGTCAGAGAAAGGAGGGGGGAGTGGGCCAGTGCAGACAGCAGAAAGGCTTAGAAGGATGCTGAAGGATGGCAAAAAATGAGAATGGGTTGACCGTAGGATGCAGGGAAGTTTGGGGGGGGTAGGGTGGCATTCCTCTCCTCCCCTTCACCTCCTGCCTGAGACAATAGGACTCACTAAGAGCCAAGTACTAGAGGGTGTGATAAGGTAATGATAATGTAATGAGGACCAATCATGAGCCTGAGCTAAGAGGAGGGCCCCTTAATTTGTCTCCAGAGTGGTAGTTCGGTGACAGATTGATTGCTCTGAGTGAGAGTGATGATGTGACACATGCAAAATGGAAGCATCTCTGACAGGAACAGGAGGAGGATAAGAAATAATAAATCAAAATGAATGAAGACAGAGGAAGCCCATACAATCACGGTGTGTGTGTGTGTGTGTGTGTGTGTGTGTGTGTCACAGTAAGCAGTACCTACCGTAGCTTTACCTTGAGAGCTACTGTTTCTCTGTTTGTAAACCCCTGTTTCAAAAACTGACATTTCCATGCATCAGAGCATCACAACTGGCTTAAACACATCAAATACGTAAAATATACATTTAACATAAATTGCCATCAGTGTTTCTTCATTACATATTTATGACTATAGATAGATTTTTCACACTCTGTTGCCTCTTGATGTTACACTGTAGTAACTCTGGCACCAACAGTGTATAATCAATAGCTTCACCTTTGATTTTGTCACCCAATAGCAGACAAAAGTACACACAGGTTATTTTTTTTCAGAGCTGGGCTTACGGTCAGTAACATTATCAAGGCGATGAATGATAAAAAGACTTAAACTTTCTTGATAAATAATTACTTTGCACCTAAATCAGCGCTTGTTTTTGATTAATGGTTGCATTGCGAGTTATAAAACTCAAAACATCCGACTGAGAGACGACATTAAAAATACAGAATTCAGGGTACAACCACTGAACACCGTTTTGTTCATTACCAAATCCTGTGTATGCTCAGTAACCTTGACGACATACCTCAATAGTGAACTGTTTTCTCTTGAGCTTAAAGGCCAGGTCCTTGTGGTCGGGGAGTTGGTTCGCCAGACAGTTCAGGTGAGGTACCTGGTGTACATGTAACAGGCCTGTGAAGGACAGAAGGAGCAGATTAAACCTGAAAGCGCTTAACAGTGCATAAAAAATACAACATGGAAGATATTCCTGTCCTATCCACAGTTTGGCTGCTACACTGTGCCAATAAGAAAACTTTGTGCAGAACAGAGGTGTGCTTTGTTATTTAAGTAAAAGAAAAGAGTCTTTTTTTCTTTACACATGCAAGATTCATTTTGAATTCCTACCAACCATCACTACGGGTTTGTTAAAATCATTTTCAAATGTGAATCTTCATTTACTTTACCGACTACAAACTATTTCTATTTAAATTTGGCAACGCTAAAAGAAAAAAAAAATCTGAATAACATTTTTGTAAATCCCAATGTTCTGTGGTGACTGAAGGGAAACATTTTTCCTTTTTTGATTTGACCAAAATTATTTTTTAACAGAAATGTTTCAAGTGTTCACCTGCTGATTACAAAGTGCAGGATATTTAAAGTTTGTTGAAAATGTGTGTCCATTTACTACACTACAGTACTTTGAGATAGAATTTTGCCAATTTTTTTTAAAGAACCAACAGCCGAGTGGTTAGGGCGCACACCACATGGACACCAAAGCTCTGAGCAGTAAGTTCCCGGTTCAATTCCCTGCTGGCTGCACCATTTGCTGCATGTCATTCCCCTACTTCTCTTTCCCCACATTTTCTGGCTCTCTCAATAATCACTGTAAAACAAAGCATAAATCCCCCCAAAATGTCTTTTTCAAACAACTAAATCTGTACTAATCATCACAATTACAGTAGATAAACTACACTGACAGAAACACTGTGGTACTGCAGTGAAATGTGAAAAGTTGAAATTAATTGCTTTTTCTTAATATCTGTAAACATTCCTATATCTGCATTCTTACTCGAGGATGGGTAGAGGAAATTTGCCAACTATTACTGGGACACATTAGTGCAATGAGGGACAGAAAACAAAATCTAAAAACTAGGTATTCGTATGGAGCCTAAGGGAAAGCACTGGAGGATTTCTTTCCTCATTTCATTTCACCAAAGTTACATTTTCATAAAACTGGATATGTACTGTAGAAGTGGGGTGGTATAAATAAGCGTGAGAGAGAAAAGGAGAGATCGAGGGAGTAATGGAGAAAGGAAGACAGACAGAGAAAGTGGGGGATGGTGGGTTCTCTCCTCTGTGCACTTGGGTGATTTCCCCTTGCCTGATTTGCAGTGACAGGCTTCCCAGCATGCTTTGAGCAGCCCTGAACTGCTGCCGCAAACACGCAAGCACGCGCATCCGCACGCACTCTCACACTCGTACCAGATGCGTTTGCACTCATGAACACACATCAAAACAATCGCACACATAAATGTATTTCATAACCCGACCAGAATTTCGCTGGCTGGTTAAACAGGGCAAATATATTTTTGAACAAGAGATTCAAACAATATTAAACAGCAAATTCCAAACAACATTTTCCCCAGAACGATTGCAAATAACGATGCGCTTACAACGCCCGTACGTTGAACGAGTTTTAAAAGTCACCTGCCGTCAGAATGCAGAGGAATGTGATCACTACGGGACGTGTTGTCTAAATAAAACATTCTGTTGGGTGAAACCAGAATCCGCCTTTGAATGTTTTCAATCTCATCCCTGCATCTGTCACAACCAGGGCTATCTAACCTGAGGAGGGGGGGGGGAATGAGAGGAAAAGCGCAAGAGTGAGTGGGAGAGTTCGAGAGGCACTGCTAAAAATACCCCACCCGTTTAAACTGACCTTTCTGCATGGAAAGTGTGATAGAGTGATAGAAAAGAGGGAAGCAAGCGGGAGAAAGAGAGAATGATAAAAATGTACAGAAAAAGTGATGGTGAGGACCGAGAGAGCGGAGACAAACTGCGCTGCCTCCCCACCCCACCTCCTCCCACCCCATTCTCTTTCTTCGTTTTCTTTCTGTTTAACCGTCTCTTACCGGTGTCCTCTCCCCCTACTGAAAGCCTTGCCCTCCATTTATTAGCAGAGCATGCTGGCCATGGAGACATTGAGCGAGGGATAGAGAGATAGAGGCAGAGAGGAAGAGAGAGTGATGGTGAGAATATCGATTCCCCAGTGTTGGTCTGCTCTGCTCCAGAGCCTCAGGGGTATGGGACTGGGGATGGAGAGTGGGCGAGGCGAGAGGGAGAGAGGCTCTGCTGGAGGGGAGGTGGGGAGGGTGGGTGGTGGTGGTGGGGGGGAGGAAGGCAGGGATGGAGGGGGTGAGGGTGCGAGGGAGAGGGGGTACAGCGTGGCAGCTGAATCCCCCCCGGCCTGTCTACTGAGGAGCACGTCTGATTGAGCAGCAGCACACTAACGCGCACTGACAGCCTGGCCTGCAAGGGGGCTGCCCTGCCTCCATCCACAGCCCAGCCCCAGCCTTAATGCACTGCCTGTGTGCATGTGTGTGTATTTGATGGAAAAGAGACAGAAAAGATAAGCGAGTGTGTTCTTACCATGGTAGTCTTTGTAGAGAGGGTTGGTCTCTCTCTCAGAGCCTTTGAATGATTCCAAGGCTATGGCATTGTCACATAGCCTGGTTATGCTGCCCATTAGAGCCCTGTCCTGTAGGATCGGGTGGAATCGAGATTGAGGGAGAGGGAGACAGGGAGGGAGAGAGAGGGAGAGAGAGAGAGGGAGAGAACATGAGCAGGTAATTAAAAGCCTCCTGACGGGCCATCAGTGTTGCAATTAAATTAGGTCATCATTTCCTGTGGCCAGGTCATCCCTGCCCACGGCTTATGTGAGTGTGATGAAGTACAGAAAGCACAGATAGGGGTCACACAGGTGATGTTAGGGCAGACGAGTGGACACACACCTCGCATCACTCACACATCCACTAAACTGGCATGGGGAAATTCAACACAGTTAAATGATTTGACTTCATCAAATGGCATCTTTCACCAAAAGAAGGAAAAAAAAATAGTTGGTGCACAATCTTAACCATGCACACAGCAGGGGAGGACAGAGGAAAAGTGGGAGAAGCGACATGGGCTTGATGTGGATAGCTCCCCCTACTGGTTAGTCCGGGGCCTTGACGAGAAAGAGGACAAATTAGGGGTGAATACAGTAGATCGAACGAACGAGGGAGAAATATACAAAAGGGTGGAGGTAGAGGGTAAAGTGAGTGGAAGGGAGGGAGAGAGAGGGACACTGGGACAGAGGGAGAGAGGGAGTCTTGCATTATTAATCCCTTTGCCTCCTGAATCATTCACATCCTTCTCTCTGTGTTGGCTGCCACCGCCTAATGCAGTTTTCATGCCTTCATGTCTTTTCCCCACTCTTTCTTTCTTCCTTTTCATTTTTGTCCTACTTTTAAAGTATGCATATCCTACCAGTCAGTACCACCAGCACTTAGAGGGTATCTGAGGTCACTCGTGCAGCAATTAAAGCCAGTGTAAGAGTTTGGATACGACAAATAATTCAATACATTAATGGTACAGTTTGACCACTATGAAGGTGTCTGCTTGAGAGATATGGTCAAATGAACCTTTATCCGTAATGGTCTTCCTAGGCCACGATGACTCTTGTGCATACACTTAAAAACAAAGATTTGGCTCTTTTGCAGAGAGTCAAAAGTTTCAAGGTCAGATGAATCCAAAGTGTCCACACAGAGCAGCTCAGTACAATGGCAGCAGGGCAGACGGAGGTCATTAAGATATGCTTCATGGATTCTTGAGTTTAAGGAAGTTATCAGAGAAAGGCTCACCTCAACTGCATATCACTTTTTTTTTTAACAACGTATTTATAATTTATAAGAGGCTCTAAAAAGAGTCATTTCACTTCTGCAATGAAAGTCTATGCTGGCTCAATTAGCTCAGATCCCATCAGTGTAAATCCCCTGAACACCGTGAGCTTCAGCTGACAACCACTGACTGACAGGTCACAGAGAGGGGCCCACTGTTCACTTTTTCCTATATTGTTGTACCCAGTGGACAACACATGCCACTGTGTACGCATGTAGCCAAATAGCAAATAAATGTATAAATCAACTCAATGTGAACAGACGCAGGGATGACTTTCTGATGGTCAAAAACCCGACACAGATTCCCCATTAAAAATAGAAAAAGGATATGACACTTATGGCCTCCGTGATTAAAAATTCAAACTATTTTACATTTGAAAATAGCAAAAATATGCAAAGAACAGCTACACTATTAGTAAAAGCAATAAGCAGCAATGCATAGTTCAGCAATGCAGTGAGGCTCATGAGTAAAATATCAATTTAAAAGTCAACTGAATATTGATGACTGTGGAAAAAACATCCTCCGTAGAACTACTACAGAGGCCCGTGTCACCGAGCAACTACGCTACGAAACCTGACTCAAAATATTTGCATACGTCAGGACATGACTTAGTCTGGGAGGCATTTAAGGTGTATATGCATGCATTTTGTGTTTGTGTGTGGGATGGGTGTGGTAGCACGAAATTGTATGATGGAGGAGAATCGGGTTAGGACAAGCCTAATTAATGTTTCAGATGGACTGTGGCACTGGGCTGCTGTGAGGAGGCTTTCAGTGAGTTGCTCAGCTTCCCAAGCTGCTCAATAATGGATTGAGTATTGTAGACTAGTAGCAGTGGGTTAGCTGGCCAAGACGGTGAGGTCTCAGCCAGCTAGCCCACTGCTACTAGTCTAGACAGTCTTCCAAAGGCCACACTCTCTTAACTAAGCTAATTAACTGGCACTAGCAGAAATAAGCTCTGATAACGCGTCAGTTTCTAAAATATCCAACGTGGTGTTGTCGGCAGCTTGAAGTGAGCCACTTTCACACGTTGGTGACCTCAGCTGATGGGAGTAGAATATATTCCTAAAACAACAACAACAACATCATCATCATCATGTGAGATTGACAGTGTTAAACTAATCATAAGGTCATAACACAACAGCCTCTAATTACCTCCATGTTGGCTTAGTCACCAAACACCTGATTCAGTCCAAAATTTCCCCCTGTCCCCTTCTTCCCCAGCTCATTCACTTCTCTCCCCAGGGTGGAGAAGGGGGGAGGGGACAGATTAAGGGTTTGGAGGCCTGGCCAGAGTGGGACAGGGGGACCGCTCCCACCACAGCTGACATCTGCTAGTTAGCCACTCTACCTTTTTTGACTAGGCCAAGGCCGCTGTGCAGTGAGCACACAGGCCTGGAGCCAGAGCATGTTGTGACAACACAGCTGTTCTATAAGTTAAACACTGACCTATATCTTCCAAAAAAAGGGATCACAAATAATACTGTTGCCATTGCTCTTGTGAGTGAGTGCTACAAGGAAGTGGGGCGTTTCAAGTGTGGGCAGGTTGAAAACATTTTCGTGGAAAGTCTCAGATGGCTTTTCTGGTGAGTCTGCTTCTATGGTTGAGTGTCTGGGGGAGGGCTGTGGTTTGCCATATGCCTCAGCAGATGACTCCACCTTCACACTGAGAGGCCAGACTGGACACAGACGCATACACGCGGACTCATACCCCCCTCCGCCCCCCCTCCCCAAGACACACAACCCACAAACACAAGTACAGACACACACAACTGCAAGGAGTTACACTTGTAAGACAATAAACGCGTCTGCGGGCGCGCACTCTCCGTACAGCTTTAAGTAATTGAAGCCAAAACAAACAAACATAGATTTAGAGGTCTTTGAATGAAGTGTGCACTCGACTGGGTCAGCTGGGGGGACTGATTCGAGGAGGAAGAGGCCCCTCGCAGGCCTGAGTCATACCAGGGTGACACTGAACTGAAGGGTCAGGAGGAGGCCCCACTACAAAAGACTTCATATCATGTACTTTACTGGCAAATAATACAAAGCAAGAGTACACAGATCAAAAATAAACCCATGCACAAAAATCCTGTCTACTATCTGTACACATTATAATCTGTAAATTCAAGTCATATCAAGTTCAGAGCGTACCACTGGCTTGTTCATTATGTTCTTACAGCATCACCCATTGCAGAAACTTCCGATAAACTATTCACAACTATTTGACACCAGCAAAGTGTGTGTGAGTTGTTTAGATGCGTCACACATTTTCTTACCTGGATAAGATGAGAAGGTACAGTAACTACTGCGACTGACAGTGACGACCTCAGCAAGGCACGCAGTCCATACAGAAAGGTAGTCAGGGCGTGGCTGTGTCTGGGATTGTCATGGCAACTCAGGTCATCACCCCACAAAGCTGAGCCGAGAGAGTGAAGCCCGACACGCAGGATGTTACGTGACCTTGGCTATAACAACAAGCAAGAAGAAGAAGAAGAAGTGGTCAGAAATACGGAAAGTGTGCAGAAAGTCATGCAAAGGGGTCATGTTTTACTGAATGGCACACACAGTACGCAATAACAAAGTTCACAGAGCGGATCTGAATGTTGTCTGATAACTGCTTTTTAAACGATTTCAGAAAAGGTGCTGCTGTCTTGGGTAGTATTCCCAAACTCTGGGAGAGAGCGACTGGACAGTCTGCTCACCAGCACAGACGATCGGAACACAGTGCCCAAACGTGACTGGACACAACTGCCCAATCACAGAAGCCATCTGACACACGCACAATGGACCTGTCAGACAGGCTTCCAATATGGCCGCCACCCAGAAACCCCAACACATTCTTGGCACCACAGCGATGCTCTGCAGCCAAGGGGGCCTGGGTAAGGGTGGAGTGCCTTCCCTTGAAACCCCCCACCACCCCCCACCCCACCACAAGAGATCAACGGTAACCCACTCTCATGAGGACAGAGAAAAAGTGGCCAAACAGTGGTGGGATATATATCACTGAAACTGGGAGAATGGAGGAGCCTGTCCAAACTGTGAGAGGTTTTTAGCCTTTAGTACAATTGCCTTTTATTTGGGGTTTCTTCAGGATGGCTCCTGATTACTGAGGTGAGAGCCAAGAGTGATTAACAAAGCCCTGGCCTAAAATCTGCTCACTTTTCGCTTTTTTTTTTTTCTCCTCCAGCCTCTTCTCTCCTTTATCCCTCCCCCTCCATTATCACAACCCTCCCAAAATCTCCTCCGCCCCACTCCCCATTGCTTCCTCTCCCAACAGTATGACCTAAGCTTCGTTTGGATCTGGATCAGAATCACAAGGATCTAAGAAAAATAAACCCCATTGTTTCTGGGAGTTTTTCACGGTCGACTCAGGGCTTTGGAAAGGACTCTCACACTGGACTCCACATTCATCTTTCTTTACATGAGTCAACATCAGTGCCCCATCTCTGTACCTTGCTACGCTTCAATATTAGCGATGTGTGTGTGGCTTTGTCACTATTTGATATGGCCTTTCTTTGTTTACAGGCTTTTCCTACACAGGTTTTTGGGGGCCACAGATTTAGAAATCTATTTCTATGTCTGCACTCCACAGGGGGGAACTGTGGTAACACGACTGTTGCTGTGGCAACATCAGGATGAGAGGCCAAAGTTAACTCCTATAGTTTAGCCTATAGAAAAATCAGGGAACAGTGCCAGTTGGGTCCAGCCAAGGACCAGAGGCCAGCCATATAGACTACAACAAGCCTGGAACCACAACCTAATCAGCCAGTGACTGTGGAGACTCACAGTCCTGCTGTTACGCCTGTCCCACTTATCTCAAACACTCCCAGAAATATACTCAGGGAGTTTAATCCTCGTCGAAATCTGCTATTTACAAAACACAGCGTAGATGAAATCTGTATGTTGTTAAATGGGCACAACAAGCAATTAATAAACCAAAGCTACAGACACTCTCTCTGTCGTCCATACTGAGCATTTCGGTGCCAGTGCCCATGTCGCTCTGTGCCGGTCTGCATTCCTGGACTTTGCCAAAAGCATGTCAGGCAGCCACACTGCTTTAATGATGTCAGCAGTTAATCTGGTGTGTGAGTGACAGCGCTCGGGGAGGGAAGGTGGGGAGTAGGGGAGGTAAATCCTGTGTGTGAGTGACAGGGGGGGAGAGGTGGCTCCAGGTGACGAGCAGAGGGGTCACAGAATGTAGGTGAAAAAGGCACACGCATAAGCATGTGTGCGTACACACACATGCATGCACGGGATCACAAATAATGCAATTTCCATGCTGCAGTGAACCAACACTATGAAAGTAGGGTGCTCAAAGTATGGGAGGGTTTTACTTATCTATCTATCTATCTATCTATCTATCTATCTATCTATCTATCTATCTATCTATCTATCTATCTATCTATCTATGGATGTATGTATAGAGTGGCAAGGAGACAAGGAGAGATAGAGAGAGTGACATTTGTGTGATTTCCATCCATCTGGATGTTTCTGGCATTCTGTAGAGGATTGGTGATTATTAAAAAGATGAATGTCAAAGGGAAGACACACACACAGCTGGGACACACAGGTGAGGCCAACCCCGAGCAGGTGAGAAAGAGGTAAACAGACACAAGTGGTGGCTTGAATGTGGCAAAAAAGCCTGGGATTGAGATGCAGATCTAGCTTTTTTATTTTTAAATGCT